TGATGCCACCAGGAAGTTCGTTGATGAAAATATGGTACAATGCAGACCCAGAAGTCTTAACAACAATATATATATATATATATATATATATATATATATATATATATATATATATATATATAACTGGTGGCACAGCAAAATTGTCCAGTTGTTAGATTAAGGTTTAAGTTGTTGTATCTTAGAAATGATTAAATATATCTTACTGGAATTCTCCGAGGTTTTATAACACTATTGGATTCTATTTTGATCACTAAGAATGTTTAATTACTCTCCAATCTTAACAGAAGTATCGTGAGGATATCGATCATAAACGAAAATGACAAATTCATAATTAATTAACCATAGTTAACGATCGGAATCTCATGAAGGATTGAAATGAATTTCATATATATATATATATATATATATATATATATATATATTATTCCAGAACTATTTTCGAACATATACAAACTTTCTCTTTTCGTGTAACAAGTTGCCTAACAGGTTTCATGTACGGTTCCATTTTCAACTCATTTTTCGCTGTCATAGTTGAACCCCCCCCTCTCACGTGCCAAACGTCTTATGCTTTGAGATGTATCTTTTTAAATTGATATCTTTAGTTCTAAGTTGAAATTATGATTCCTCTTCTCGGTTTGACCTCCTGATCCAGTTTTCCTCTCCACTGTTCCTTCTTTATTAAACTTATTCACCGTTCTCTTGATGCTTCTTGAATGTACTTTGAAGATGGAAGCCGGAGTATCAATATTGGTACCATTACTGAGGGCCTTAATGATCGTTTACCTTTCACCATTGCTAAATTTAGAATGCAGAGGGTCTGAAACATATATATATATATATATATATATATATATATATATATATATATATATTAATCGATTTTAAATATGTTTTTTCGCTACACAGTTCTAACCATGTTTCAAAAATGGAAGCTGAAAGCTCCGAATTTAATTTTGTAATTAAATTAAAGACATTAGTTCCATTTCATCCTCAAGAGAATTTTGGAGTAACTTTTTAAATTACTGGGTTTTAACGACACAGCAAAAATAATTCACGTTTCCAAGGATACAGAGAAATCTATTCAACCAGACAAGGGGTGTTTGCGTGTTCATTATCGCTGTATTTTGATGTATCAGTTATTAGTTACGTTTTGGTAGGGGTAGGGATGTATTTTTCAATGAATTCTGACATCCGTTAAATATTAATGCTCTGTAAATTTACATTGAGCACTATTTTGTAAAAATAAAAATATCTATAAGAACACCGGATTATATATCCTACTGTTCTTTCTTTTTATTTACACTCACTCACACACACACACACACACACACACACACACACACACACACACACACACACATATATATATATATATATATATATATATATATATAGAAACTCCACGAAAGTTGTGTTCAATTTATTTCCTCGAAAACAATAGCAAAATAGTTCTAGCCTACGCTAGACAACGGTAAGGCTCAATGTAATTCGCAAGTAATTAGAAATATGATGGGAAGCTTGAATCACGAAGTAGGCAATGACGGGGATAGTGGCCAAATTCGGATTAGAAATCCGTAATGAGCGCAGAGAAAAATAGACCCAATGGTAGGCAACACCAGATTTCAGGAATACGCAAGACTGATATAAACATAGAGAAACCTAGGAGGAGATTGGTTTGGTTTCTTTTTCGGCATTCAACTTCAATAGGTTATGTAATGCCGATAAAAATTTTAATTGCTGCAAATATTATTTATTGTCAAAAAATATATTTCTGATAATTTTTTTTTTTTTTTTTTTTTTAATATCTATATGTTTAAAAAAACTCCTGGTAATAATCTTTTTTCAAAAATATATTGCTGGTAATAATTTTTTAAAAAGTATTTCTGGTATTAAAACCTATTTTTGCACTTTGATAGTGTTTTTACCCCAGTTTCGAGATTAACTATTTGCCCATAGCTGAGAACCCCAACAGTTGCTACCACCCCGGGTCAGGGCGGATCTGGGAACACCAGCAATTAAGAGGTGGTTCCACGCTTCTCAAAACCTTCTGATCAGAGGCCTTGCTGCTGGACGTAGTTTATCGTCTTACCCAGGACGCGGGTGTAGTTTACCGTCATACCCAGGACCGGCCTAGGTGGAGAAACAAAAATGAAAAAATCAAATTGACTATATAACTATCAATAAGAGATTCAAGAATGCAATTATACACTGCAAAGCATACCCAATTACCGACTACCGGAACGACAAACTTCCATTAACATTTAAACATAAATTTACGAAATTGATGATGGCCAGTGCTGGACCCTAATTGCAATATGACAGACTCCTAAATGACCTGATTGTGAAGGAGAAATATATGGACAGTGTTAAATGCATATTTAATGGACCATATGAAAACGAAACCCCGAAGTGGAACATATACAGAGAAGCTTTAGTAACACCATCAATGGGTATCATTTCTAAGAACAACTGACAAAGAAAAAACAATGGATTCCAGATTAAATTCTCGACATGATTGAAAATATTTAACCCCCCACCAAAAAAAAACCTAAAAAAAACAAAAACAATGTTAATGTATGGAACAGAATATAGCCCCCTGAGCAAAGAAATTTAGAACAAATGCAGGCAGGCTCAAGAGAAATAGCTCAACAAAAATTGTGCAGGAATAGAAAGACTGGGTATCATAGATAAACTGGTTATACATAAAAAAAAAAAAAAATAAGAGGACTAGCAGGACAAAAGAAATGCTCCTCAACTTGATTCATATAATTAAATGACCGAATGATAAAGTCAAAGAAAGAAAAAAATACTTTAGATATTGTGGTAGCATACCTACGGACGATAATATGTATGTCCCCATGCACATAAATACAGTAGTAAATACTGCATATTGGTTTGCAGTTGGAGATTCGTCTCCAGCTGTACTGGTCAAACTCTTTGCCTGGGGGCAGAGAGGATACCAAGACGAGGCTATAACCTCGTCTCGGGTAACAGCTATCCGAAGCCGTTTTATACAAAGTCTACGGGGAATTTTTGGCCGAGTCCACGGTCTCGGATAGCCCACATTAAATCCGGCCTGTGCCAGATCTTACTGCGTGGAGCGGTTGGTAGATATCCTGCAGTTGAATTCAGTTATCCTGAATTATAAAATTCGCTTGACTTACTTCTAGCAGTTGACTACTTCTTCCACGCGCCGCTGGCGAATCTTATATGTGCGTTCGTGTCATAAGTATTGTCGATCATTACCAACCTTCGTGTGATTATTCTATTCAGTACCTTTTCCTATTTTACAACAGATATGGGACGAATACATCGGTAAACACTTCCACAATGAAAGAGAAAAACCGGCAATACACAGAAATATCGACTGGCCAGAAATATTAAATTCTGAGGTAAAATCAGCACTGAACAGAAATAAAGCAGCAGCACCAGAAAGAATAATTGATAAGTTTGCCAGTGACAAGATTACGCACACAATAAATGAAATATCCATTGTGTTGATACACCGGAAGTAGATCCATTTTCACAGCACTGTTCCAGAAGCAACTTGCGAACAAATGGGGACTCCATTGGAAAATAAGCCTAATGTACCATATAACAAAACTTATTCGAATTCTGATGAATCAAACCGAAAATAGGATAAGAACAGTACGGGTTTGTTAAACATACTGGGACAAGGTATACTAAATATAATGGGGCATGTCTTGAAAATGTACGTAACAAAGAACTGTTGGAATTGATAGATAGACCTGACATATTTGGAAAGGTTATTAGAATAATAACAAGTCCCCTGTATACGGATAGAAAAAAAGTATTCATTAAATTATACAAAAATAGAAAGGAGTGTAAGACAATGTATTTTCGCACCGGACTTATTCAAGCAATATAGTGAGGAGTCTGTGAAAGAATTAGAAGTCCTCTCAGCATTGATTGTGGAAACATGGTGGAGTAATTTATAGCGGCTCGGATTGTGGAATCGGAGAGCCGAGTTCGAATTCCAGTGCTTGGGAAATCCTCTTCTTCTCCCCCCTAGCTGAATATCAGAAGAGACCGGGTTCAAAAGCCTTGGATGACAATTGGTCTAGCGCAGAAAGAAATACGAGAAAAATTCTGCCTCGTTAGTCATGTATTGAAACATAAATGTTCGCCTAAGTGTATCACGCATGGCATATAACTAAATGATCAGGATTCATTATTGGCAGGAGATGCAGATTATTGAGTGTTGATAGACACAGAAAGGAAATTACAAGAACTCCTACAGGAGGTAATGAATAAAAACGAGAAACCAGGAACAAATATTACTTACTAGAAAACAGAATGCAATGATGGTATCAAAATGAACAGCCCAACATGCAAACTGCAAATTGGAGATATCAATTTAAACAAGTATAACAATTTAAATGTTTGTGACGTGTTTTAAAAGAAGACGAAATGTTCGTCACTGAAATCCAAATGTGCATTGGTGTAGAGATATGTGTCTTCCAATAGCTAGGCAGAATATTAAGAAACACAAAGAATAGTTAGAAACTATAAACGAGTATTATTATATAATACCAGTTCTCCTATTTGTCAATGAATGCTGGCCAATCTAATCATAACTGAAGACGATACTTGAAGTAACAGGAACACGGTTGTACAGAAGGATGCTGAGAATTTTTAAAGAAAATCAATACAAAAAGAACACTTATATTTAACATCAGCAAATGACAGTTGATAATTCAAAGGCACATAGTGAGAAAAGAATTTGAAAAAATTGGCGCACACGGACCAGTTTGGAGACAAAAGGACGGAATTAAAGAAAAAATAAGCATAACCTACATAGCGAGTAAATGGATGGCGAAGCAAAGATTTAAGAGATGTAGCAAAAAGATAAAATTTATTTATTGTTACAAAGGACTGGAAATTGTGGAGAGGCATAATCAACAACTTCCTGAAAGAACACGTTACATAGAAGAGGAAAGACCCCGACGCATCGCCTAAGAATTTTGAATGGACGTCTTTTAAGTCGTTGGTGCAGTGAGTAAAATCTGGACGTAAAAAAAAACATTCACAGGAGAGGGATATTGCTTTTAGAACCGACAACGGAGCTGCTAGTAACACACAACTCTCAAGAAATTCATTGAACTTACTTGTCGAAGCCAATATTGGTCACAAAATGGCAAATAAGTCTTCATAGTCTAGTTTGCGTAACAGCAGGAAGGATACATATCAAAGCGGTATCCGTAATGTCTGGATTTTAAGTGCTTTCCTGTTTCGTAAACCATTTGCAAAGCAAGATCATATTTGTATCGCAAAAAATTAGATTATTTTTTTTTTTTTTTTTTTTAATATATTTATGTGTTAATATGCGCATTTATCTTACGTCATCATTTGGTAGTTTATGATATCTTATTTACTTACTATTTATTAGAAAATCAAAAAAAAAACTACAAATGCCAGAAAAATAAAGATAAACAGATAAAAGATTTTAAAAAATCTCATGATGTGACATAAATGAAAACTTATAAAACAACGCATGAATAAATTTAACACCCCTAAACTTCCATTTAACAAAACGAACTAATTTACTTGAAAAATGTTTATTAAAACTGAAAACGTTTAGAATTAGAACAGATTGGTACAGACAGAAGATTGGAAAATGTTAATAAAAATACTCAACAAAAGAACATTCCTTAGTTTTAACTACAGTTTGTATAGAATATAAATGCTGCCAATATATATATATATATATATATATATATATATATATATATATATATATATATATATATGTGTGTGTGTGTGTGGGTGCGTGTATAGAGAGGGAGATAGAGATAGATAATCTATTGAATTTTTTTATCAGATTTCACAATCATTTTAAGCCATTATTTCATATAATGTTTTCTTCATTATGCCTGTCTAGGACGGTAGACGAAGGTGATAATTACACTATTAAAACAACAGATAACAAATAGGTTCATATGCTCAAACGTGTGTGCCCACTATCGAAGTTAAGTAACGTTAAAGAAGGTCAGTACCTAGATAGTTGTTCAATACCATATGGTCTAAGCTCAAGCGTGCTTGTGGTGTAATGCATAAAACTTTGGAATGAGAAGTCGGAGAGCTGATTCCGAATTCCAGTCTGATTCGTTATATACATTTACATACAATACTCTTCCCCTCCCAGTTTTTCTTTATATTAAGGTTCACCCTGTATAAGTCGCGGGTTCTACTCGAGGAAGAGGGTTACGTGAAGAGACAGTTTGTACCGATAGGAGGGGGAGGTAATGGTTAAGCCTAAACTTAAATAGGTTAATATTGTAGTGATCAGGAAAACATCGTCTTGGGAGTTGGTTCCACAGAGAAGTGGTTCGCAAGAAGATGTTCGAGTTGAACTTACTTCGCGCCGATGGAATACGGTTAGTTTGGTACAAAGTAAGTGGCATGGCGTGTCCTTGCCGTGAACCAAGGAAGGTAGTTCGAGCACTTTCCCTGAAAGTAGCGACAGAGCAGCGAGAGGCATGCCACATCCCGCCTGTGTGTGTGTGTGTGTGTCTGAGAGAGAGAGAGGAAGAGAGAGAGAGAGAGAGAGGAAGAGAGAAAGAGAGAGAGAGAGAGAAAGAGACCAAGAGAGAGAGAGAGAGAGACCAAGAGAGAGAGAGACCAAGAGAGAGAGAGAGACCAAGAGAGCAAGAGAGAGAGAGACCAAAGAGAGAGAGACCAAGAGTGAGAGAGGGACCAAGAGAGAGAGAGAGAGACCAAGAGTGAGAGAGAGACCAAGAGAGAGAGAGAGAGAGAGAGAGAGACCAAGAGAGAGAGAGACCAAGTTTGAGAGAGGGACCAAGAGAGAGAGAGAGAGACCAAGAGTGAGAGAGAGACCAAGAGAGAGAGAGAGAGAGACTTGTATCAGAAAAAATGTGAACGATATATTACTATCGTAATATATGTTTCGTCTTATAATAACCTCAAAAAAGGTTGATAAACTGTATGAAATAAATCAATTCATCGATATTTATATACATGTTAATATTAACTGTAACGGTAATGGTAATATTAACCATTAGGTTATTAGAGAAATTTCAGCATTCATTGAATAATGTTAAATTTAAAAAAAAACCTCTCTTAAATAAATAAATAAAAAAGAAATGAGGTTATTCAAGACCGTTGTTATCACACCTTCCAGTAGTGATGGGGGTGTCCTTCCCTAACATTTGTTTGGAGTACTGTGAAAGTATCTTGATTATGCCTATTCTCTCCGAGTTCTATGCACTATTAAATTCTATTGTTGCTGTTTGTAAACCAAACTCTCCTGATTGACCATAGAGAAAATGACTTTATACTCAATAATTCCTTTCTAAATTAAACAACTTGAAATGTGAATGATACACATGAGCATTTTCTTTTTATGATACTGTATTTCTAAAGAATAGAAATTGTTGAGAGATCAGAGTCCAGTACTGCAATAAGTAAGACTTAGAATAAAATATCTTAAGAGATAGAAGATTCAGCAACGAATGATAAACCTAACAATCTTATCCAAATTTTCCCCCATCCGGACGTATACTCAACCAATCTAAACACACAGATTATTCACAAATGTTCTTAAAAAACTGCATGTTGTTAACATTAATCAGAAAATGTTGCTTATTTTCAAAACTAACAGATCATTTAAAGTTTAGAATATTTCACGACATGTTTTCTCTACATATCGTAAGTTTGATTACATAACTGTTAACATTATAAACTATCTGTATATCAAACCTCGTTCAATATTCCAGCCTGAAGTCGACATCGATATCGCCATAATGCAAATGAACCAATTCCCAAATACAAATTCTGTACAGCTATTAATATCAATCCTCGTACTATATTTTCGCGGTCAGGAATCTTGTCCCAGACTATCCCAGATATAAGATCTCTTGATCTCGCTAATCCTGTGTTTATTGACGACAGCCGCTAGCGTCAAACAAATCCTTGTTATGCCATAAATTGGAATGGAATTTGCCAGCCGCTGTCCATTTTGATTACGTACCAGTGGCAATGCGAAATTGATCGGAAATTACTGGCAAATTGGTTGATAAACACATGCGGCATAAATAGTTTTCATAATATATTAGAATATGTGTTTCTTCTGGTGAAAGAGATTACTTTCTATTTACTTAGCTTAATGTAGAAAGACACAAGGCCAAAATATTTATTCTAATTAAAAAAAGAATAGTGTTTCCATTGATTATATGAGAAATGGGGTTAACAATCATTGCCTAATGTGCCGTATAACATTAAATATTGCGTACATTAGGTTGAAGTAATCCTCCAGGACTAGTATATAATCGGGCTGTCTTTAATATAAGTATTACATTTGTTACAGTTTGTCTTGAATGCTAGTTACTTTCACGTTGGCTGTTTTGGTAGAGTACTGGCTAACGACACAGAAAATAGAATCGATAGACCGACTTCAAATTCCATCTAAGGCTGTTGTGTTTTCATTCATTGGGAAAAGCGATAATCCTCCATTCTCCTCTAGCTAGGGGATAAATAGTAAAGTAGACTAAGCACTTTAACTGCGGTAAAGCATCAAGTTTATGTGAATGATAACAGTGAATTGAAAAATGAGAAGCCAATGTAGAGACCATATCATTATCTTTCCCAATAATTATAGGAATTCAAAAATTAAATAAAAAACGAAAGCTGTAGAGAGCCATGGAAAACTATTTCCTGGAGGGATATATTGATTAGAGAATCCGAACACTCATTCTCTAAACAAACATTCATAGATTGTTGGAGTGTCTAATCTGTTGGAATTGTACAAGAATATGGCTGACTCATATTTTCATATTATTTCCTAAAATAATACTCTACTGTTATATTATATCGGATCTTATATATGTGGTGGCGGATACTGAATAATCTCGCCTATCTATCAGTCTACACTATACGTTCCTTTTTCTTCATTCTTTTTTTTTCTTTCTTTCTTGTTCTTTCTTTCTTTTTCTTTCTTTCTTCCTAACTTCTTTCTTTCTTTTTTTCTAATTCTTTTCGTTTATTTTTCTTTCTTTTTAACTTCCCTATTTTTTCTTTCTTTCTAACTTCTCAATTCGTTTTTCTTCTTTCTTTCTTTCTTTATTTTTGTTTGTTTATTTCTTTCTTCCCTGCTTCCTTCCTAACTTCTCTATTTGTTTGTTTATTTCTTTCTATTTTCTCTTTTCATTCACGTTTCCTCCTTTTTTCGAACTCCTCTATTTAATTATTTTTCTTTTTTTCTTTCTTTCTTCCTCTTTAACTTCTCTAATCATTTGTTTTTCTTTCTTTTTAATTCCTCTATTCATTTATTCTTCCTTTCTTTCTTTCTAACTTTACCATTTATTTTTCTTTTTTCTAATTTTTCTATTCGTTTCTTTTTTCTTTCTTTCTTTCGTTGTCTTTCTAACTTCTTTCATTTACCTTTCTATCTTTTCTAACTATTTATTTTTCTTTATTCTAACTTCTCTATTCATTTCTTTCTTCCTTTCTTTCTTTTTTCTGTCGGCCTAATTTATTCGTTCCTTATTCTTTCAATCATTCGTCATATTAAACTTCCATTTAATTCCCTTCACCCGTTTCCCTTCCTCCTGTGATTCATATTCTTTCTTTCTTTCTTTCTTTCTTCCTTTCTTTCTTTCTTTCTTTCTTTCCCCCCTCAACATATAAAAGACGTCCTGAATAACCGAACACTTAAATAGAATAGTGAACATGAGTAAAGCGGCGAATGGAAAGCGAGTCGCCCATTTAACGAATTTGTGCGAATCGATGGCCGAAGAGGGAAAAAACGAAGGAGAGGGAAATGGGAAGATAAAAACGTTTGGCGAATAATGATCGCCTTCCTCTTGAAGAGACAAAACCAATAAAAACTGCAGGAATGTCAATACACAGGGCATATCAAGAAATTCAACACTGCGAATTATTTACAATTTCGGTGATTTTTATGTATTTATTAAAGAAAACAAATGAAGATCACAGAAATATTATGAATATTTGAAATAATTACATTTATGTGGAACTCCTATTCTATCTATCTGGTTTATTTATAAAAGGGTGATGAAAATGTTTGCACACACACACACACACACACACACACACACACACACACACATATATATATATATATATATATATATATATATATATATATAGGTGTCCTCAAAATGTATACACATTAAAAATGTAAACTAAAGGGTGTATAAATTTTTTGGAGCAACATTTATATATATATATATATATATATATATATATATATATATATATGAGAGAGACAGAGAGAGGGGGAAAGAAAGAAAGCGTCGAAAATATAGCTTTACATATATATACATAGAGAGAGAGAGAGAGAGAGAGAGAGAGAGAGAGAAATAAATTGAGTGTAATTCTCAAAGTAAATCTAAGAGATTAAAAAAGAATAGATAAACGTCAAGATATATTTTTGCTGTAACCTAGGGAATGTTGCTGAATAGAATTATCACCCGAATGTTGGTAATGAACGAGAATAATTAGGATAAGAACAACACATATAAGATTCGCCAGCTGCGCGTAGAAGAAGTAGTCAACTGCTAGACGCGAGTCAAGTGAATTCTATATTGAATCTCCAACTCTAGGATATCAACCAACCGACCCAAGCGCTCAGATGTGGCACTAAGCCGAATTTAATGTGGGGAATCCGAGCTCGTGGATTCGGCCAACAATTCCCCGTTGACCCCGTATAAAATGAGATCGAGTAGGTGTTTCCCGAGACAAAAACTCTGTCCTTCGACATATCCTCGTCTGGGGATCCTCTCTGCCCAGAATCAGAGAGTTTGATCAGCACAGCTGGAGACAAATCTCCAACTACAGACAAACATATAGTATTTACTGCTCTATTTATGTTAATGGGGACATATCTATTATCTTACGTAGGTATGCTACAACAATTATATAATAATAATTGTTTGGCGACTAGAATTGAGTTGGGCTGGACCTACACCAAAAGAAAGGATAATAAATGGCGTAAAAGTTGGCTCGGAACGATATCTATCGCAACTGAAAAAATACAGAGAAAGGACGGAGGAGAAAGAGTTATTTACTCTTACGTCATGGCCAAAAAGAGCAGATCCCATGTCGCTATGGAGATAGTGTACTTCTGTTCAAGATGATGTCTGTTGCTTAATCATCATACATTAGTTTTTAAACGCTCATGTGAATTTGACAGTTTATATGGATCATTACATTATGTTCATTTCTAAACGCAGAGAAGCAATATAATGTCTGGCACAAGGCGAATATATAGAGCAATATTAACATCTCCAAGAAATCCCTGGTCCATCCCATTTCAATACTAACTGTGCGATGGCCTGTCGAATTCCTGCACTCACTAGAGCATTCTGGTGTAGCCTCCTGAGAAGTAATTTGATGCGTCAATTTTAAGCTAACTTATAACTGACCCACGAAATTTCTGCTCATAAATTCATCCTAAGTTTGGCAATGACACCTGTTTGCTCGCAATGCAGATTTTAATTTATATAATGGACGTTATTATTATGCGTTCTATTGAGAAGAGTGAAGATGTGTTCATCCCATTGGCCTTTTCTTTGATTTGAATGACCTTCAATTTACAGTGGAACCTAGCTTTGCAACGGTAGTTAATAAAGTTTAGTGTGAATCTATGAAGACATCTGGCTTGAAGTTAACACCTACCTGCGTTTATCACGGTCAGTTTGATATTTATATATCTATGTTTTATTTAAGAATTTTGTTTGAGTGTCTGCGTGTGTGTATGTGCGTAGCCGCGACAAGGCCTATTTTATCAAACCGTCAGTGTTGGCCACAGAGAAAACGTAATAGATAAGATACGTTAAAATCGATTTGGTAATTCTTAATGCTTTCCTATTTCAAATGACGTAACCACATCCTTTTAAATTTTGACAAGCGGTTTTAAATGTAGTTTTCGCTTGTGCGTCTAAAACAGTTCACCGTTTCGCATTTCTTAAACTTTTAAAAACAAAGGAGAAATAAATGGATAAATGAAAATGCAATATAGATGCCTTTAAGAAGGGAGAATAAAAAAAAAGCCGCTTGAATAACAGAATATTGATGAAAGGGAATTGTAGAAATAAAAAGAGGAAACCAATACAAAATACGCGCCAAAAGTCGAAAAGAATTCATAAATAAAACGAAGAAAGCTGGTTAAAGAGAATAAGAAAGAAAGATGGGAAGGTTGAAAAAGTGACGAGGGAAATAAATGCTAGAATAATATGAAGGGAGATGGAATGAAAAGAAATAAAAACAGTGAAAGGATAAATAAACACAAAGGAAGAACAGATTAGATTGGAGAAAGAAAGAAAAATCAAATAGATAAACGAAAGAAAAATAATGAAATATAAATACAAATGAATAAAGAATTAAAAAAGAAAGAATGAGTGAAAGGAAGAAGGAAAGAAAATTATGAATTCAATGAAAAATAGAATTGAAAGGGTAAATGAATGGAGAATTGAGAAAGAACAAAGAGACGAAGGAAGAGAAAAAATAACAATTCAATGAAAGAAAGAGAAAAAGACGGAAAATAAGAAGACACAAAAAAAGAAAAAAATGTAAATGAATAAACAATTTAGAAGGAAATAAAGACAGAAAGGAAGGAAGAAGATCTAAACGAAAGAAAAAAAAATTAGGTAAAGATAGAAATAAAAAAAATAAATGAATAAAGAATTGAAAAAAGAAAGAAAGGAAAGAAAGATAAAAGGAAGAAAGGGTAAACGAAATAAGAAAATTTAGGCAATGACAGAAATAAAAAAAAATAAATGAATAGGGAATTGAAAAAGTATAAAAAGAAAAGAAATGAAGAAAGAAAGAAAAGGTGAACGGAAGAAGAAAAAATTAGGCAAAGTTAAATAAAAAGATAAATGAATAGAAAATTGAAAAAAATAAACGAGAGAAAGAAAAATAGGATTTTAATGAAGAAAGATAGAAAAGCGTAACAGGAATTCAAAGAGAGAGAGAGAGAGAGAGAGAAAAAGGATAAATGAATGGAGAAATTAAAAATCGATAAAGAAATAAAAAAAAAACGCTGATAGGAAGAAGAGGAAGTAAACATGTAAGCAAAGAGAGATATGTGACTTCTCTTGTAGCCCGCAAGTCCTTATGGTGTCAAGTTGAACAATTTCTCCTTCAGGAAAACTAGAAGAGTTATTGCATTGTACTTAGCTCGACTCTGAGTAGAGTAAGTATTTGATTTAATTATATCGTTAGTAAGAAAGTATCCTTGACCTTACTGTGTTCTTTACTCAGTCAAACAACATATCAATGTACAGATCTTCGCAAAAAATATCAGACGGTATTTTATTAGTACGAATGTGAAGAATAACATAACTTTCTTTATTAATCATCTATATACATCTATATATTTCATTAAGGACAGAGAACAGTATTTTTCATTTCTTTCTTTTTCTCATTCCTTTAAGAACTTCTTTGTCGTTCAGAGATTTGGGCGCCATCTTTTATGTTATTCTTTTTATCTGGTACCTGTTGAATATCCTCGGTTTTCTGAATGAGGAAAGTCAAGTCATGATCTTCAATCAAACTAACTACAATTCAAACATTGAAACCAATTTTGGTTTGCAAGGTGAAATATTTGTTAATTTAAGATTTGTGACATTCTAACGATCATTAAAAAAATTATCTAACGCACTGTAACCACGCCGTCACTGACATCCAGTCGACAACATTTTCCTATTGGGGACAATAAAAGTGGCCAAAAGAGACGTGTGATTATTTGTGATTAAAAGAACACCATTTACCTTGTGAAAAGACGTCTTATGAATTCGAATCGAGAACATTTGGGGTACTGGTCTGAATGCCAATACAAACCAATAAGGGCAATCACCGTAGTTAGCTAAAATAGTTTGAAACTCATTTTATTTTGAGAGTATTAAGAAATAGAAACATGTTCGTTAGAAACCAAGAAAAAGGCACTGAACTGTTATGTTATGCCTACTGTCTGTGAATGGATTCTGGACAATTCCCTTGAAGATAAAGCGCAAACGTGAAGCAACAGAAATGTGGCTCTATTGAAAGATGGTGAGGATACCATGGACCGAACACGTGAGCAACGACACGGTTTTAGAGAAAATTGAAACAAAAAGAAAACTTGCCAGGAAGAGACAGTTTGAATTTCTGGGGCGCATAATAAGAAAGGAGGCCTTGGAAAATATGTTACTCACAGGGCAGATTACGGGCAAGTGGAACAGAGTAAAACAACGCATAACATACGTGTCGAGTTTCAAAAATATATATGGGTTTAGAAATAAAGAAAAGGCAGAATTTATTTAAAGCGTCAAAGGACAGGACGTTGTCGAGAGACATAATCGCGTATGTCCTGAGGGGACACGGAATTTCAAGAAGATATTTTGTGATAATGTTAAACGTTTTTCAAAATAGTGAGGAACACTAACATTTTATGTATTGGAAGATATTCATTAGGAATCATCAATGGATATGTATTGGCGAATACTGCCTTTTTTAATGTTAGAAAAATTATATTCATTTCTGTTGTTTTTAATATGATGAACGATAAAAGCACAACTTTCACTAAGCTTCAATAATTGTCAAGATAAACAACGAGAGAATATGGTGCATCTGTAGCTAATGTAAACATTTAAATTTTTTTTTCAATCCCCGAAAAGACATGAGAAATCATCAACATAAAATGATGGGCAAAAACATTTAAATACTATTTTTCACCAATTATTCGGCAAATGCGCAACTCAAGATAGAGTATTACGGAATGAGGTTATTGTAAATTTTGTAAAAGGAGAATATAAAATTGCATAATTTGTGGATATTAAGGACAGGTAAGAGTTGACCATATATTTAAAGATGCTACGGTTGTAGTAATCGGAAAGCGTCCGCCGGGATTTCCTAAAGTAGCCGTCCTGAAGCTATACCAAAAGAATTTCTATCTTAACAATGGACTATAAATGGAATGAGTGTAATTCGACACACTCTATCGGTTGAATGGCGGTTACTAGCTGGGATAATCTGAAATGGTGGAACGAAAGAATATAACTCGTCTGAACATTTGCCAAGAAAATAATGATAGAGCAGCGACAAGTTATAACGGGAAAGGGATTGTCGACTTCAAAATATTTCTCAACCCACAAATCTTCCAGACGCTGATGAAATCTGTTCAGGATGGAAAGAGCGGATTACGCAACACCAAATATGGAGCATTTTTTTTTCCTGTTATGACTCTTGTAAAAGTAGAGCTTGGAAAAAAATTGTGTTTCGCAGTTATTGGCAATAATTAGTTTAAATGCTTTAATATTTATTGTCATTGTTACGTCATATATATATATGTGTATGTATTTAATGAAAGTGGCTGTTAGATTGCTTGTTTTTAATGTTGTTAGATTGACTGATTTTATACCCTTTTGAAAGTTATTGAAAAGCGAGAAAACATTTTAGGATTATGAGAATTTTAGAGGATAATAATGATTTACTGATACAAGTCCTTGTAATTAATCTATAGTTGAAGGAATAGGACGTGGATTCATACAATTCCCAAGAGCCGAGTTACAATTCTGAGTCATTTATCCATTAGACCACCTGCGCATCCAAGATTACAACACCAGGTATTGCCTAGTGGTCATCTGTCTAGATGTTAAGGAGGCCCGATGTTGCTTAATTTCGCTGGTAGTGCGAGAATCGGTGTTTCAATGTGATATGTGCGGTAAGTAGAAGAAGGGTATTAATCGGTTGATTTTAATCCAAAGAATAATATTCTCGGTTTATCAGGTTGAACAGCCTTATGAAGGCAAAAAGTGTCTTTTAACATTCGATCTCCCAAAACCAATCTAGGAACGTTTCATCATCACAGAACAGGTTCTTCCCCAGACCTGATGAGTGATTGTACTCTCAATGTGCTTCCATTGACTGAACCTCTGTTTGGAGACAAGTTCACCCCAGACCGTAAGTGGGACCCACATATACGATAGATTGATAAAGATGCTAGGAAGATAGTTCGTTCTACTGCTACAGAAAGTACCTGACTCCTCTTGGCATGCTCTATATTTACAAGAATCAATGATGTATCTGAACTGGAGAATCATCACAACCAACGTTCGAACGTAATTACAAAGCGTTGTGGGCAATGAGTTTTTTTTAAAACCCTATGTCCTCTTCTGCATAGATTAAATAGGGTAACCTTATCTCTACGCGATCACTGTTTCCATAACAAATATTTAGACATTATAAACTGTGTAGTTCTCACCAGTTCAGAAATTTGATGCTGCGACATATTCCTTTAGGTAGGAGGAAGTTTCAATCGGAGAGTTTCCTCCTAATAATTTCTACTTCGATTGCAGAGAGGATGCTTCCCTGATCACTACAATCTTAAACTATGCATGACTACGGTGAACCGTTATCTATCCATAATACGTAATTGTCTTCTTACATCCATAAAACCGAATCCAGTAACCTTTTAATCTTGAGTGGTTATCAGTTTTCAATCACAAAAATCCTTCCTAATCATTTCCACTCCGTCGAATAGTTTGCAGAGAGGCCGATTCCCTGATCTCTACAATCTTAATCCTCTCCTTGTCTACGGTGAACCATTATCTATAAATAATACGCACTTATTCTCTTACGTCCATAAACCCCATGTGGTTATCAGACTTGTGCTTAAGTTTTTGATTTTCCTGTTAACCAGACACATGACTAACATTTAGATTTCATTGTAAACTGAAACTGTGGGGACCTTTTATTTTATTTTAACGTAAATCGAGTCTATGGCCATATATGTATTAATTCATGGTTTGTTTCTTTCATTATGCAAGACGTAGATTTGACATTCGGCATCCCATGACATTTAATTAACCAGCTTAAACAAAGTTTTGGAATTCCGGGATTAATTATTTTGATTATTACAAATCCTAAATGAAATTTCTTGATGAAAATTCCGTAAAAATGACGACGGCATTCGAAGCATTTGAACAGTTCCTTTTTATCATTTTCCCGGTTCTAATCTATTTATTGCTGTTTATATTCTCCGTCTACTCAAAACTACGTAGGGGCATGTTTCTTTCAAATAGTATATTGCTGTGGGTCTGTGAATATTCTAAATTGATTTAATTAGAGAAAAGGCTTCCTGACAGCAAGGTAATAAGAGGCATGTTTGGAGAAATTAATCTATTGTTGACATTGCAGATGGCAGCAAACTGAAATTTGAACTGAATAATTAAAAGCAGCAGAAACAGAATTTCAATCAATCAGAGATGTTATCTGCCTTACTTGAAATCGCATCAGACGAATCAGTTAACCGGAAGTTCAGCCTTAATATAAAATGGATATTGGGGATTATTTTGTTTTCATTATTATTATCAATCTTATTTAGAAAATTGACATTACTAGATGAAGATGGATTATTTTCTTGGTTAAAATTATTAAGGTCATAAAATTACGAACGCATTTTCAGACATCTTATTACATGTAATAATAAATATATTTTATCTAATTATATGTAATT